TTGAGAAGATATTGTTTCTGTAACTCTTTTTTTCCTACAAATCTAGTTTTAAATGATGGTTGTAAATTTCTCAGTACTTTGAGTCCTTTCTCCTTTGACGGGTGATACAACTGCTAGCAAAAAATGAACATTAGTATTCTAATGGGTGCCATGTGATTTTTTTTCTTCCGGGTAGAGTCTATCTCTTTCAAACAGTAAAAGCTCACATAACACCTGTTGCAGTCATTTTTGTCGCTTTAATTTCTTTGGTTTTACTAGCAAAAATGGCCATTTCCAAAGAGTGCCAAGTAGTTTACATTTATTATCTGATTTAGTCCTTACAACAGTCTTGTGAAGTAAAGACTACTAAACTCCTCAATTTGAAAATAAGGAGCCTAAGCCTCAATGCCATTTTGTTTCATGCCCCAGTTTACAAAGCTGGTAAGTTGCAAACATGGAATTCAAATGTTTCTCTCTCAAAAATCCACATTCTGAACCATTGTACTAAATACCTCCACATAATAATTGCTAACATATGTAACGTGCTTGACCATGCACTGGGTGCTGTGCCAAGCATTTTACATCTCTCATCACCTCAGTCTTGAAGGGTAGAGAACTTGGTGATGTAAAGGTAGAATCAATGACAAGAAGCAGGAAGGCTATTCAAAGTGTGGTTTGTGGTCCAGCAACCTCAGCGTCTCCTAGGAGATTTTTAGAAATGCAGGATTACAGGCTCCACTCCAACTTACTGAATCAGACTCTTTATTTTAACAGGATTTCCAGGTGACTTGTAAGCATATCAAAGTGTAAGAAGCATTGCTATGGAAGACCTGTGAAGAATCTGACCCCAGTTGTGGTTAGATTTCTCTAATGCAGTGCTTCTCTAAATGTTGATCCCTGAACCAACAGCATCAGTTTCACCTGGGAACTTCATTGAAATGCAAATTATAGAGTCCCACCCTAGACCTACAGAATCAGAAACTCTGGGGCAATAATCCGTTTTACTCCTCCAGGTGATTCTGATAAATCCTGAGGTTTGAAAATCCTCTTTCTAATGTCCTGCAATCCTTACACCTATGCTCAAACAGAAAAGAGGAGTTAGCAGTGACACCCAGTGGAGCCAAGCGAAATTTGCAACTTTTAAAAATGAGCATACCTGGTTCTTTTTTACCCTGGTAGGATAAAACTGTCATGATCCTTGTTCTTTGCACTAAAAATACAAGGCTGACTTCTTTTCCTGAAAACTCCTTGCTTTAGGGTCTCATTCCCATTTTGTATATGTAGATATATTCTTTAATTCAGCAAATATTCATTCACCACTAACTAGGTATAAAGAATTGTGGCAGAAGTAGTGCAGAAGATATAAACCATATCAAATTGGCCCCAGAGCAGTCTAACAGCATCACCTACCATTTGAGTGTCTGAGGTGTGGCAGGCACTTTGCTAATTGTTTTCCAGAATTCACTCAGTGTTTTCACGCTTGAGATACACATTTGACCATTGAACAACATGGGGTCGAACTTCACAGGACCATTTATATGTGGATCTTTTTCAATAAAAGTTACTCCTAGATTGCCTGCCTCCCCTTTCACCCTATCCACCTCTTCTGCCTCTGCCTCCCCTGAAACAGCCATACCAACCCCTCATCTTCCTCCTCTTCCTCAGCCTACTCAACATGAAGACGAGGATGAAGACCTTTGTGATGATCCAGTTCCACTTAATAGTAAATGTATTTTCTCTTCCTTATAATTTTTTAACATTTTCAGTTCTCAGCTTTATTGTAAGAATACACTATATGATACATATAACATATGGAATATGTGTTACTTGACTGTTTACATTATTGGTAAGTCAACAGTAGGCTTTTAGTAATTTTCGGGGAAGTCAAGAGTTATACGTGGATTTCCACTGTGAGGAGGGTTGGTGCCCCCATCAGTCACATTGTTCAGCACTCAACTGTTATTTGTTATTCCCGTATTTGTTATACTAGAAGTAGTGTGAGGACTTATTCTAGTTTATGCTGTTAGTCACACAGCAGTTCTTAAAATAATCTCCAAGGATTATTCTTATTAGAATCATTTAGAATGTTTGTTTCATATGTAGAACCCCAGAAACCCACCAAATCAAATCTCTCGGGGGTGTGGCATATTTAGCAAGTTTCCCAGGAAAATTTTACACACACTACAGTTTGAGAACTGCCATACCACACTATATGGTCTCCATCAAAATATTGTGCTTTAAAGTATTATGCGTTAGCATCAAAGATTTGTAGAGCAGTGAGGAGAGATTATCAAGTTTGTATTTTAGAAAGTTCTATGTCATGGCAGTAAGAATGGATTAGAGGTTGGTGGTGGTAGGAACCTACTTTATAGGATTACCAGAAGAAAAGAATGTTACACTGAGAATCCCAGGTGATATTCTAGTTTCATTTCCTAAGAGACTTGCTTGTTGTATGAAATCTCAAATTCTTGTCTCAGAAAAATTCAATTTTAAGAGTTACACGGAATCTGAACTAGAAATCCTGAACCAATTACTAAGAGGATGATTTAGACCAAAAAAAAAAAAATAATATATATATATACACACACACACACACACACACACACGTAATCTTTAAAAGATTACATATGTGTATCTTTAAAAGATTATATATATATAATCTTTTATATATATATTTAGTTATATATATTTAGTTATATATATTTATTTATATATATATATATAAATAAAGAGAGAGAGAGAGAGAGAGAGATGGAGTCTCACTCTGTAGCCCAGGCTGGAGTGCAGTGGCATGATCTCGGCTCACTGCAACCTCTGCCTCCCGGGTTCATACGATTCTCCTGCCTCAGCCTCCCGAGTAGCTGGGACTACAGACGCATGCCACCATGCCTAGCTAATTTTTTGTATTTTTAGTAGAGACGGGGTTTCACCATGTTAGCCAGGATGGTCTCGATCTCCTGACCTCATGATCCACCTGCCTCGGCCTCCCAAAGTGCTGGGATTACAGGCATGAGCCACCGCACCTGGCCAAACTAATTTTTAAAAGATAATAAACATAAGGTCAGAATTGGAGCCTTGAGATGAGTCATCCTTTTAGCAAAATTTTAAAATAATCTTAGGATATGATTTAGAACCTATTTCAACTTTAAACAGACTATCTCTAAATTCTGACACTTTTGTTTTTTGCATTGTTACTATAATTTAAAAAATTTTCAGTTTTTAAGTTTCAAATCTTAAAATCCACAGCTATTTTAGCATTGGTTATGCAAGTTATGTTATGCCCCCTGGTGGCAATATGGAGAGAAAGATGAGAAGCATATTTCAATCAAAGGGAGAGAGAGTGCCAACTTAATTCAAGTAAGTGGCAGGCCCAGAATTTGAAATGGAATTTCATATAAAACTTTTCTGGTCTTACTAAAAATAGGAAACATCCCGTTAAACTAAAATCAGATGTATTAACTTCAGCCTGCAAGGTGCATATTTCAATTTCCCTTGCTTTGTCATAAAATGGATTAGCTCCTTGAAATATGTCAGTTGAACTTGAAATTAAATATTTGCTCTACATATAGCTAAGTACCTGAACTCATAAATGATAACTAAAGTCTGTGTCTGCACAGTATTTCCTTTAAGATCAGGCTTCACCACATGCCACATACCATGAGGCCACTTGCTTCTGCAGAGTATTGATTTTCCCACATTAATAAACTTTAAAAGATTACATGGTCCAAGTAGTCATTTTCAAGAAGGTGCTGGGGAAAATCCTAAATTTACTCAGCTATTCTTTAGTCAAAACAGCCAAATGTGGATTATACTGAAGACCTCTTAAATAAGGCTTTTTACCTCTTTGGGGGCAAAAATAGGAAGTGAAAATATCAAACTGCTGAAACATATGTCGTTACTCGGCATAAAAATATGCCTAAAAGATAACGTTTCTTGCTGGGATAAGATACACCTGGCCTCAAGGTTATATGCTTTGGTCATAGGAGAGAGATGGCTATTCCTTAAGTAAACATTTAAGTGACTACCAGGTGCTTGGTTCCATGCTAGAGGAGAAATACTAAAACAGATGAGTCACTGACCTTAAAGTCCAGCAAGGTGTAACATGTGTAAAAAGAATACAATACAATGATACAAATTACAGTAAAAATAAAAGTAAAAAGGAAAAGGTGACAGTTAAAAAAGTATTAGATTTGGCCAGGCACGGTGGCTCATGCCTGTAATCCCAGCACTTTGGGAGGCCAAGGCAGGTGAATCACTTGAAGTCAGGAGTTCAAGTCCAGCCTGGCCAACATGGCAAAACCCTGTCTCTACGAGAAATACAAAAATAAGCTGGGTGGGATGGCGTGTGCCTGTAGTCCCAGCTACTCGGGAGGCTGAGGCACGAAAATCATTTGAACCTAGGAGGCAAAGGTTGCAGTGAGCCGAGATTGTGCCACTGCACTCCAGCCTGGGCGACAGAGCAAGACCCTCTCTCTCTCTCTCACACACACACAAGTCTTAGACTTGAAAAACAAGTATTTTCCAGTTGAACAAAGGAAAGACATTATAAACTATGGCAAAAAAAAAAAAAAAAAAAAAAAAAAAAAAAAAAAAAAAAAAAAAAAACACGTGTAAACACATTAAGGGTGAAGTACTGTGAATGCCAAATAGCTCAGTATTGCTCAAGGACAAAGTTCAAGTGAGAAGTGACAAGAGAAAAGGTGAGAAAGTCTAGATTATGAAGAGTTTTCAAATTCCTGCAGGTTTACTTTATCCTATAAGGGAATGCTCCTAAGCAAAATAATTATCGTTCTGTTTATTAAGCAGTTAGGTCCAGAAAACTTAATAAGCATTTATGTCCTAACACTGTTTTAAAATAAAACACAAACTGAAAGAATATTTTTATTATTTTTACTCTTAACCAGTTACTAATTGGGTATCTGTGCCCATTGGGCACCTTACTACTACTCAAACCTTGGAATCAGACTGAACATCGTTATCTTCATTTCCTATTCTATGATTTTCATGTGATACTTGCTTACCTCCTCAAATTCCAAACCCAGCTCCACAAAGATATTGTGTCCAGAATTGGTGGGTTCTTGGTCTCACTGACTTCAAGAATGAAGCCACGGACCCGCACGGTGAGTGTTATAGTTCTTAAAAATGGTGTGTCCAGAGTTTGTTCCTTCAGACGTTCAGATGTGTCTGGAGCTTCTTCCTTCTGGTGAGTTCGTGGTCTCGCTGTCAGGAGTGAAGTTGCAGACCTTCCCGGTAAGTGTTACAACTCATAAAAGCAGCGTGGATCCAAAGAGTGAGCGGCAACAAGAGTTATTGCAAACAGCAAAAAAACAAAGCTTCCACAGAGCAGAAAGAGACCCCAGCAACTTCCTGCTGCGGGGCTCGGGCAGCCTGCTTTTATTCCCTTATCTGACTCCACCCACATCCTGCTGATTGGTCTATTTTACAGAGAGCTGATTGGTCCATTTTGACAGAGTGCTGATTGGTGCGTTTACAATCCTTGAGCTAGATACAGAGTGCTAGAGGGAAAAGTTCTCCAAGTCCTCACTAGGTTAGTTAGACCCAGAGTTAGCTAGATACAGAGTACCAATTGGTGTATTCACAAACCCTGAGCCAGACACAGAGTGCTGATTGGTGTATTTACAAACCCTGAGCTAGACACAGAGTGCTGATTGGTGCACATACAATCCTCCGGCTAGATATAAAAGTTCTCCAAGTCCCCAGTCGGTTCAGGAGCCCAGCTGGCTTCACCCAGTGGATCCTGCGCCAGGGCTGCAGGTGGAGCTTCCCGCCAGTCCGGAGCTGCACCTGCACTCCTCAGCCCTTGGGCTGTGGATGGGACCGGGCGCCACAGAGCAGGGAGCCGCGCCCTTCTCGGGGAGGCTCAGGCCGCGTGGGACCCCACCGCAGGGGGAGGAGCTCAGACATGGTGGGCTGCAGGTCCCGAGCCCTGCCCCGCCCGGAGGCAGCTAAGGCCCAGCGAGAATTTGAGTAATTTGAGTGCGGCGCCGGCGGGCGGCACTGCTGGGGGACCCGGTGCAACCTCCGCAGCTGCTGGCCAGGGTGCTAAGCCCCTCACTGCCCCGGGCCGGCGGCGCCAGCCGGCCGCTCCATGTGCCGGGCCCGCCGAGCCAGCGCCCGCACACGCCGGAACTCGCACGGGCCCGCGAGCGCTGTGTGCAGCCCTGGTTCAGACGCAGGCCTCTCCCTCCACAGCTCCCCACAAGCAGAGGAAGGCAGCTTCGCCCTCAGCCAGCCCAGAGAGGGACTCCCAGGGTGCCATGGCAGGCTGAAGGGCTCCTCAAGCACCGCCAGAGTGGACGCGGAGGCCGAGGAGGCGCTGAGAGGGCTGCTAGCACATTGTCACCTCTCAATATGATGTCATTGAAAGAAATGTAGCATGCTTTAACATTGTAATTCTGAATGACCTTGAACTAGTAGTTTGTGACGGCGTCCCACAAATATCAAATATGTTGTTTCCTTTGGAAATTTAAAATATTCCATGATTCCCCTGTGAGTTCACTAATGTACCCTGGCAGGACAATTTGAAAAGCTAAAAAACTGCACAGATCACAGACACTATCTAATTTGCATGATAGAATACTCGAATGCCTTTATAGAAATGGGTTGGAGACTGGGAGCCTGGTAAGATTATTGCCAGTACAGTAATGACGAGGATGCAACTTGCAACATAAGCAAAGGAGATGTGAAAGGGAGATTTGGGTACATTAATCTGTAGTTCTTGCTAACTAAATGGATATAAGGGAGTGAGGTGTAGTAGCATAAGAAAGTGGATGAGTCCCTTTCCCAACATGGCACAAGTGTAGCTAGTGATACTAGTAACCATAATATGTTTTTAAATATTTGATAATCATATTTGAATCTAATTGGTTTCCCTTTTTATCCTGTATTTTATATCATGCATTAAACCCATTATTCTGAAAGGGTCCATTATTAAGCTTCATCAGAATGCCAATAAGTTAAATACACCTACTGGCCATTGGATATGCAAGTCTGAAAATCAGGAGATATGATAAAAGAAACATAAATGTAGTTAAGTTTACAGGTGTTTAACTTGTGCTGGAAGCTGTGGGTATAGATAAAAATTTTCAAGGAGGAATATAGAGGTTACAATAAGGAGAGGCAAGGGTGGAAGCACACAGAACAGAAACACAAGAGGTGAAAACAGAATGAGGCTCTAGGGTGGAAAAATTCACAGGGAATTAAGAGAACCAACAGAGAGGTGTTACTGAGACAAAATGAAAAAAGCACTGGATAGGTAGAATTTGAGGAAAGCTTAAAAAGTATGCATGAAATTTTGGTAACTAGGAATTTTTTGGTGACCTTAGAAAGTTCAGAAGATTAGCATGGATAGAAATAACATTTCTGTGATGAACAAGGAATGAAACTAATTTACAAGTATAGATTAGGTTTTCTAGAAATCTGGTTGTGAAAAAAGGTGCAGTAGTTAAAGGTGGAGATAGGTCCAAGGGGTCAAACTTTTTAAAATACAAGAGATATTTGGTGATGTTTATACCTGTTACCTTGCCTTAGAGGCAGCCCTTTCTCTGAAGGAAAACTCATGAATATTTAAAGAGAAGCTAGGAAGGGAAAAGGCAATAGCTCAATTTTGTATCCCCATCTGTTCTTCCCCGCACACCCAGTTTTTGCTGCTCCTTCCATTCCAGGGCTTTCCCTTTCATTGAAAGCCTGGTCACTCCCTAAAATAACATTTTATTATCTCTGACAAAGGAAAGTACCTAGAGCTTCCATGACCTTAAATACTAATAGATAAGAGCTATCGAGTGTTTACCATGTGCCAGGCACTGTTTTAGTCACTTTACATATATTAACTCGTTTTTCTTGAAAAAAATGCCAGTCGCATCAATGAAGAAATTGACTACTAAACTCAAACTTTCTCTTTCAATTAACTACCTTGGAAAGTGTGGTACATTGAAACATTCTAGACTTCAATATCATACAGAGTAGAGTTCAAATTTTGCTTCAGCTATCTGATCTTTTAGGACCTTTATAATTACTTTATCTATGTAGTAATAAAAATATCTACTTAAGCAAAAAAATTGCTTAAGTAAGAATCAAATGATATATATATATATATATTTCAAAGGTAACTAGTTTTGTTTTACTCAAACTATTTACAACAAAGGGCAGAGTAGAGACATGAATGGCTGCACAAGTTATTTTAATTATAAATTAATAAAAGCCTACATTAAATTCATCTTATTAACTACTTATGAGAGTGTATAAAAACTGATGAAACCAACATTTTTTGGTACTTCTGTTACTTCCATTCGCTTCAACTTAACTATTCTTTCTAAATAGAAAATTAAAAGATGGCAAGCCATTTGTAAAAAGACATGTAATTTTGTTAATCAGGTTGACATTTTGAACATCTTCCTCTTCAGTTCAGCTGTCTTCTCATCTATCTTAGCATAAGAGTCCTCTGCTGCCTTTTCAATACCGTCGTGGTATTTCTCCAAAGCAGTTTTCAAGTTTAGAAATATTTCCTAGGTAGAAAATGAAACAGAATAATAATTATTCCATGCAACAACCTAAACTACAAATGAGTTATAAGAATTCCAAGTTTATTCATATTTATTAATATTTTAAAGCCTAAACTCTTATGCACACACATACAAATGTGCATGTCCATGTCTGCTTTTATTAAAAATTCATTCTATAAGCTGTACAAACACATCAAAAAAGTTTGCTACTTAAAGAACAAAGGAGAGACGTGAGACAAATGGTTAGGATTATAATATATTAAGAACAAACATATTTATAATTATCAAGGAAAAATTTACTTTAGAGCTTTCCATGTTAAACATGGAAAATAACTACATTACTGTAGATAACTATACTCTCTGCATTTGACCCTGATTATCATTTAAAAGGTATGCAAACAGATTTAATAAGTAATCTATAAGACTGAAAAATATATTAATACCTTTTAGAGTTGTTTGAATAAACTGATCAGATAGTTCAAGCCTATATGGATGTGCTAAGAATTTTAAAAAATAAAAAAACAATTTTTATAGATTAAATAAGAAGCAAATTAGCCTGTACACATTTTCTTCCATTTCATACTTGTCAAATATAATATTGATCCTCCTTTCATTATTTATTTCTTAGACAAAACAATTCTCAAACTATAATATACATAATACCACAAGAAATTGGTATTTTACAAGGTTATAGGATGTGTTTTGCCACTGAAATAAAATAGCCATCTTTTTCCAATGGGGGAAGAAAAGCAGTATATGAATACAATGTTCTCAATTTTAAGTGTCTCTCCCACTAAATTTTTCTTAAGCCTATAATTTTGGCTACTATTTATCTTAGTTTAAATTCTAGCAGAGATACTATCTGAATAAATTACATAGATTATAATTTGATATAGTATAAATTCAGTGTTCCAAAAAAGAACACTATTTCCAGCAACTCTGCCACCTATGCAAGTTTGAGAGCTATTACTACAGATTAAGTGAATGTAAATATATGCTTAAGACTAAACATTCTCCAAAAATCCAAACATAGTTATTAAATCCTAACACAAAAATAGAAGAGTGTGTTTATATTTCTGAGATCTAAGCAGGTATCAAATTACTACAACTATGATAGAATATGAACCAATAGGAAAATAAATCAAAATTTTTGAAGCCTTTATTTCTTAAATCTTGTAGGAAAAATAAGGTGAATTAGTTGCTAGCTTGTGTGAATGCCATTATAAAAAAAAAAAAGCACATTCAGCAGCTATAAATCAATTTAATTTTCTAGTTCTATATGAGTATATGTTTATTCATTCCAAAAAAGAAAGCTGAATAAATTTGGTAGAAAGATATTACTTATGAGAAACTATCAAAACTAAGTGTGACTAAATTAAGATATACAATCTGTACATATCTGAACCAACCATTTCAAAATACCCAAAGGAATACTTTCCTTCTGAGAACAAATAACACTCTCAAGGAGGAGCAAAATCCTGCTGGTAGAGCCACAAGTGAATGAAACATTAAGGCCCAATTCCAGTGGCACAGGCGCAGAGACAAAAACATCTGAAGTTCTAAGCCAACCCTCACAAGATGTTTAATGGTGACAGAT